AAAAAGGCTTGTTGAGACAATTTGGGTTAATTATTAATTAAGGACTTGGTCGGGGTGTTTTATCTTAATGGCCTCACGTGTCTCCCATTTCCCAAGTTACCTAGGGTTTTGTATATTGTTCTCTTTTGTATTTTAAGATTATAATTATGGTGGTTATATGGAGACTCTTTTGGTGTTTCTATGTAAGCTCCTCTGTTGTCTCAAATCTCGAAGTCCAATTAATCAGACAATATTATGGAGCATAAGAATAAGATAAGTCTTCCCATTAATTAGTTTATTTGCAACTTGTTTTCTGCCACGGATTACTTAGTATGAGTATCTTTAACAATAAAAAATTTATAAACCTCTTATTAACAATGTAAGAATTGAGGGTAGATCGAGGTGCGATCCCACGCAGATGAAGCGCACCATACAAGGAAAAGCTCAGATGAAGTCTAAGTGGAGTAACATCCCAAAACTAATTAGTGGAAGGAAGAGTAGTCCACTAGTCTTATAAGTTGGGTATATTTTTCTTGTATAAAGAATGTGGAACAACTCACAAGTGGTATTATATTCTAATAAACAATAAAACTTCATAAATTCCTGTTTCCAATTTTTATTGCTCCTACACCGTTCAAATTTTAACATAGTATTGGTTATGTATCTTAACTAGTTTTAACTCGTGCATTTGCACGAAAAGCGATAAAATATAAGAGAATGCATTTGTACAGAAAGTGATATAATAAAAAGAAAGTAAAAAAACATACAGACAAACATAATTTGATCATTGAGAAAAAAATGATTTAAAAAAGTGAATCTAAATATTATTAAATACTTTTTTATATACAATATTTCTGATTTTCCTATCGTATCAGATTCACCATTAGCAGGAATCATTATCTTCAAACTCCTCCGACTCGTGACTCTGGAAAGAGCCACATACGACTGTCCATATCTAAATACATGGCTTTCAGTAGTAAGCCGACGTGCAACAGAGATTGGCCTTGACTCTTATTAATTGTCATAAAAAATATAAAACCATGAGAGAAAATTGTATGCGCTGACACGTGAACAACCAAATAGTATGATTGTGAGCTTAAGAACCTTATCACCAGCTATGTCGATTAAAAGTTTGCATTCGAGGACATGACAACTGAGCTTAGTAATAACCAAATGTGTACCGTTGTACAACCCCATAAAGTGATCAATGTTTTTGACCAGCATCACTGGAGTGTCGACCTTCAAGTGCAATTTATGATTCAAGAGTCCCGAGGACTTCATCCCATTGAGAAATTTGGGAGTATAAAGATCTTGAAGAGAGTCATATCCAGCGTCTGACTTGCAAGTGGTGTACGAACTCAAATAAGTCCTTCCCTTAGATGAGTTCAAAGAGCTTATGCACTAGTTAACGGACTCAACAACATAAATTGTGGGAGCAAGTATGGCTCTGTCCTTGAGATAACTAAGATCGTCACCTGAACTCCTAAAAATCGGATAGATACTCTATACAATAGTAGCAATAAGATTATCTTGTGATTTTAGAAGAATATCGTCAGAAATGTCGATATCTGCACAACCGTAGTTCGATCCACTAATTGTACCATCGCCAGTGCTTGCAAGCCACTCCAAGAAGCGCCTCAACTCATCGTACTCATCACCTCCACCAATGCTTCAAAGCCTCATATAATCAGTATCAGAACAACACAATCGCGCCATATATAATGGACAAATATTTAAGTATTAATTTTACTAAAATAAGATATCTACGTTAATTTGTTTTATGTTTTAGATGTTCACAAATATATATGATTTTAGATTCCATTATATTATGCAACCATTAAATTAACATAATAGTTTCATTTTGTTTATTATTAAAAATCAATCAAATCATGTATATGAGTTGATGTATTAGAGTCAATTGAGTATGATTTGTATTTCAGCTAAGGATGTAATTATTAATATTTTTTAAAAATTAAATTTATTTAATCATCATATTTTTTAGTACAAATAATCATAAAAAATATGCAAGTAATTTTTTCAGTAATTTCAACTAATAATTTATAGTTTTGCATGAATAATTTGAAGGAGCTGGTGCAAGGATATGTATTCTAAATGATTTCTTTCTTTAATACTTTGGATTGTATCAATATAATTATAACTTGTTTTATTGTGAGTAATCAGCGTACAAATTAAAAAAATATGTAACCATTCAAACTTAAATGTTTAAATATTATCTCGTAACTATGAAGCAATTACGTTACAACCATTTACAAACACTATATGGGTGTGATAGATTTTTAAATATATTAGAGAAATAAATGCATCCGTCATATAACACAAAATTAGGCAAAACTAAGTGGCTGATTTCAGGATAGGATTAAAAGATAAAGAAATATATAAAATGTAATGTAACAGTTTTTGAAGGAAAACTATAAGTATTTTTATTAAATACTAGCTTATTTTTATTAGTTGATGGTTGATTTTATTACTTTCTTTTCTTATTGAACCCCACATATTTCACACTCATTTTCTTTTAATATTGCTTTTCCATATTTCTATTCATATTTCTATATAATCTTTCACTCCGTATATTTACGTAAATATGTATTATATTTTTCATAATCTATAACCCTCAGTTTTCTCAACATATTAATAATTACAAAATAACTTTACATTTTATTACTATAACTTGACTAACTAATAAAAGAAGGATATATAAAAAGGTCAAACAAATTTTTTTTTAAAAAATACATAAATAAAAACATAAATTAATATGAACAAGAAAAATACTCCTTTTGTTGTTTTTCAATATTTTTTTCTTTTTTTGTTTAGGGCACTTATTCTTAGTGCTCCTTTTAACTTTTTCATGTAATTGTTCTATTTTTTTTCAACAATAATATTTAACGTCTCCAAAAAAGAAATAAAAAAATACATGTAACACATAAAAATGAAAAACAAAGAAAAAACAATTAGAAAGAATCAGAAAGTGGGGGCATGATCCTTTTTCAGACTCTATCTCTCTAAACTTCCTATATCTCTAAATTCCCGAACTTTCAACGAGCGATTCGAGCACCGAAAAAACTCTGAAAAAAATGTCGAAAAAATTCTACGGTTCCGGACGTCGGTTCCGGACGGACGATAAACCGTCCGGTCGGCCGAACAGGACGGCCGAAAAACCGTCCGGAACCGCCGGCCGGTCACGAGCCGGCCGGACAATTTTTAATTTTTTTTATAATAATTGTAATAATAATAATAATTATTATTATTATTATAATTATTATAATAACAATTATAAATTATAATAATAATAATCATATATTATAATAATAATAAGTTGAATAAATTGTAATTAATTATAAATTCTAATTAAAATAATAATAATAATAATTACAAATTACAAATAATAACAATTATAAATTATAATAGTAATTATATATTATAATAATAATTATTAAATATTATAATAATAATAAGTTGAATAAATTGTAATTAATTATAAATGCTTATAATAATAATATTATAAGAAATAATAATAATAATAATTCGTAATGATAATTATAAATAAATATAATAATAATTATAAATTAGT